AGAGCTGGCCTGCCTGATGCTGCCAGTGATGATGCATCTGTCCCAGGGTGTTTGGAAACCAGCTGCTGATTTGCATGCACTGGCCCCTTTGCTGTTTGCCCAACTGTGCTCAGTAGTTTTTCGGCGGGGGAGTGAGAACAATTCTGTCTGCCCTGAGAAAGCAGGGATAAACAAGAGGTCTGTCTTTACCCCCTTCTCACCTCGTCATCCTGCCTGCCAGGCAGCCAGGTGTAAGGATGGAGTGCCCAGCCAAAGCGGAATGAAAAAGTTAGACGAAACTTACTGTGAATGCTGTTTCCATCATGCATGCTATCGTGTGGCTGCGTCCTCATATTGAAACTAAAATGGAACAGCAGCTCTCTGTGGTACTCTACATCACACTCTGCATTGGATTTGTGTCTTCAGATTGTTCCAAAATGAGTCAAGGTGAAAACAGCCTACGGTACGTTATAATTCACATTTTAGATGTATCTGTTACATACACCGTACATAGCAACTCATACTGTAAAACACATACCCTGTCTTCCAAAGCAAAGAAGGAGATGCTGAACATGAGTGCCTTGCAAGATTCAAGGTTGGCTACATCTCTTCAATAAACAAAGTTGTAACCCCACCAGAAGTTTGTGGTCAGATGCAAATATTGCTGGCTGTGTAGTTTTATGTGCAGAAGGTTGTACTAGGTGAGCAGAGCACTCTTTTCCAGTGTCAAAGCCTGACCATGCTTAAATTTTCTGAGGGGCTCACTGTCAAAAAAGGTGTGAACCCTTTAGAGACCATCAGCTTAAACTCCTCTTCAGCAGACCAATACATTCTGCTGCGTGTGTGTACGCACGTGTGTATGTGTGTAAGTGCCTGAACATCTGTAAACAATTTTACTGGCTACTTGAAGAAGAACGTGTAAATTACCCCATCCGGCCTCTCTTCATTGTACTTGTTTTTGCTGCGCAAGAATATGAAAGGAACAGAGTGGATTTCTTCTGCAGTCCAGATGGTTATCAGCTTGTGCCCTGGAGCATGAGAGTTGATCACTCTCACCATTTATAAGGTAGCTAGTGTAACAGGTGTTAGAAACAGGACTTTGGGTGAGGAATAAGCAACAGAAGTAGATAATGTATTAAGACACCAGTGCACCAGCCTGCAGCATTAGAAAGGTGAGCACGAATTTTGCTCCCTGTTTAATGCATATGAAGCTGTCAGGTTATAAATGTGTCTATAAATTATTGTATTTTACTCTGCTGGAGGTGGTGTTTGGAAGCTGACAGAAGGCAGACTAGAGAATACGCTGGATCTCGCAGAGCCGGATTCTGATGGTTTACATGGCTTTGTCTAACCTGCTTTCAGCTATTGAGTTCAAGACGTTTTTGTTGTTGTTTATTTTTACACTACGGGGATAGGGAGACCAAAGTTGGGAGTGCTCGACAGATTTCAACCAGCAGAGCAATTGGCAGGGACAGGAGCAGAGCCAGGTCTGACTCCCAGGTCAAAAGTCATGCTCTGAAGTTCGTGGTGATGCTGGCCACCGAGAGGGCAGATCGGGAGAAAGGCAGCATCCCCCATGTCTGATCTGCACCTACTGAAAGCAGCAATCCCACTGATTTCAACCGTGCAGCAGGCAAAACTCTGTCCTCATTTTGTAACACAGCACTGATTTTCCTCACTTTCTTCTGCCTGGTAAATATCTTTGTTAGTTGAAGACAATGCTGTTAACTTTCACAGAGAATAAAACTGGAGAGATAAAAAGAGCCCATTTTCCTCCACTGTGGACACAACACTAAAATAGAAGATGGAGAGGGGAAAATAAGGAACAGCATCCAAAAAAGAAAAATTTTATGAACGGGATTAGTTTTTCTTTCATGGAGAGTATAGGAAAGCATTTTCAGGACCTACTGATAGCTATGTATGCTGTGCTGTAAAATCCCTTCAGCTGCAAAGCCAACTCTCTCATGCCCTTGTTTTCACAAAACCAAGGGCTTCTTTTTAAGAAAGGGCAAAGAAGGTGGGATACCTGTTTAGTAAATACTGTACTGCACATGAAAGAATTATTTTTTGAACGGCAATTTCTGAAGCACTTTCGGCAGCACTGGTCTGCATCCCCAGAAAAGCCTCCTGTGACTGAACTGGTTTAGCCTCACAAAGCAGATGGGCATGCAGTGGAGGCAGGCAACTAAAGAGTGTTTTTTTGAGAAACTAACTTCCCAGGAAAGCGGCAGGGCAGGGAGGGAGGGAAATGAGAGAAGAGGCAATTCATCTAGGGAAAAGCAGTTAACTTATTTTATGACACTTTATATCTTCCAAACACAATGTAAGTATTTAATTGCGGTATCACCACAAGGGTGGAGAGATGTGGCGTGTCCACCCACTCATTTCAGCGATAGCCAAACTGAATTAGAAAGGCTGCTTGCTGATTCTCAGTAACTGGAAACCAAGTGGTCCTAGGTCATACTACTTTGGGGCTCTTCTCACAAGCTTCGGAGATGCTGCTGAAACCCAGCAGAGACCTGATTTGCAGTGTGAAGCATTGGGTCTCTTTCAGAGTTGCCAGCACAGCACATGCAGCTTGTCCAGGTCTGTGTAGCTTATTTGGCTGGTTTGGGTCTAGTACCAATCAATTGAAACCTCTCTTTAGACATGGTACTTTTGTATTAGGTGAATGGAATGCAAAAATACACTGTCACCAGGACATGGGAAGTGATGATCTATGCTTGTACAGGGCATGATTTATTTATTATGTTGTTATCTATAGGGGAGCATGCACATTATGTGAGGTTATATAGCTCTGCCCATGTCGGCCTGATTTTCCGGGTGATGTTTTGTTTTGTTTCATGCCTCATCTTGTCAAGTGCACATCAGAAGTCCGGTTAGATTTCCACACAACAGTGCTCCTTTCGCCAACTTACTACTTGCATGGCATGGCAAAGGGGGAGGCAAAAGAAACCACGCACGAGCATTTCAAGCATTCTTTAGATAGTGTTTTAAACCCTTTCATAAGTTGTGGTCTGGCTGCATCACGTCTGACTTCTTTCTCTTTTAGCTACAGTCAATGTTCATGCTGTCCAGCAGCTGCCTGGGTTCTGGAGTGTGTTTTCTGCAGGAATAACCCCGTATTCAGCAAAAGATGAACTTCACTCTAGCATGTTGGATGACAGTTTGTGTGTCTCTGAGCAGATCTACACTTCATCCCAGTCTCTTCAAAAAGAAAGGTCCTACAGAAAACTCTGACCCCCGTAATCAGACCCTAATTCAACAGGAGGAGAATTTAAGTCCTTCATAAATAAATAAATGCTATTTCTTGTTTCTGTGTGGTACATAATACAGTGCTACAGGGGCAGTTGAAAGCCAATGGAAATTCTTGCTGCTGCCATGCAGACGTCCCTTCCTTAGGTCAGCTCTGACCCTTTCTCAGGCTCAATCTTGATTCCTTTTCCAACTGAGATTCAGTTCTGTATGCAGCTGTGGCTCTGGGACTTTCCAAAGCCGCTGTCTGGGAATCTGGCATAGCAGCAGAATGCAATTCACTGCAAGTGACCTCTTGCTAAAACAGAAAAAAGGGTTGCCTATCTGTTAAAGAAGTAAAAACCAAACCAAAATGGAGCAGTACAACTCTCCTAGGTTTCTTTTAGTGCTTGGTAGGAGGAGGGTAATCAGATCTCTGAGAATGGTGTGCCAGGAAGGAAATTTCTTCCCATGTGCAGCATACAATCAGCCAGGTGCAATATGAGGAAGGGAGGTTGTCTTCCTCTGAAGCATAAGGTATTAGCTCCTGCCAGAGGCTGTGTACCAGAGATCTGATCAGATACGACAAATTTTATGTTCCTATGCACAGTGTGAAGCTTTCATTTCTACGCAACACATTGTAGCAAGTCAAACAATGAGTCATCTCATAAGGGGGAAAAGGAAAGAAAGCTTTTATCTCCCAGTGGATTGGAGATAATCTCTCTACCTGGGTGTAAACAGCTCTTCACCATACTGCCTTCTCTCCAGGGGAAGGAAGCTATTTTAAATTTGTCTGTAAAACAGGCATTGAATTGTCACACCTCCCAGGCCTCTCTGCCTGGCCCAATGAAGGTGGCAGGCAAAAGGTCTTTGACTTTCATGGTAACTTGGTTGGGCCCCTGTGAGTAAACACAGTAGTCTAGGTTGTATATGCCGTACGAGCTGGCTGGGAGAAAGGGAGTGCCAGATTCTCCTTGGAGGCCTGGAAAATCTGTGCCCAAACTGAACATACCTTCTGTTTTACTATAAAATGGCAGACCACCCTTATATAGACAGAGTTACATTGGTAATATTTTATTGCTATACAGGAAACACAAGCTAAAGCAGTGCTAAAGGTGCCACAGCCTCAGTGCTTATTTTCCTTTCCAGTGTGGGAATAGCATCTGCTAGCATAATGGCATCAGCAAGAGGGATGGGCCATCCAAATACACCTTCCTCAACCATACCCGCACTGATAACCACTTACAGACCCACTGTTACAGAGGCTCTGTGAAGCAGCCCTTCTTTACAGACCCCAGCCACCTAGAGGGAAGTACGGCTATAGCTCTCTTGCATCTGACTGCTTTTCGTTATTCTTGATCAATGACTTTAGAAGGGGTATGAAGAGAGAGCATGCCTCTCTTATATGAAAGGATACACCCCAAGGATGCATGGGGCCAAGGACTTTGCCTCCTGCCTGCTCTGCCCCTCAGAAGGAGCAGCTGGAAGAAAATCCCATTTCACAGTGGAAACCTGGAATGGAATAATGTCCTAGAAGCTTTTTTCAGGATGCTGAGGCAGTTCTTGTTTCTCAACATGTCACAGATAAACCAAGGTGCCTAAACTAATGAAGTATTTCACAGTCCAGTGCTTAGAGTAATTCTGCGTCAATGTGACATTCCTATCTTACACCTTCCCCTGAGACTTTGCACATTATGGTGTGGGGAGAAAGGGGGATGCACTGATGTTTGCCTATATTCCCATGCCTTATCTCAGTTTGGTAACACAACCATGGTCTCTTCCTGCCACAGGTTTGCAGCCCGTTTACTGGAGCAGGGATGATGTGGCACAGTGGCTCAGGTGGGCGGAGAAGGAGTTTTCCTTGAGGCCGATTGAGAGCAACACTTTTGAGATGAACGGCAAGGCTCTGCTGCTCCTGACCAAAGAGGACTTTCGATACAGGTCTCCTCATTCAGGTGAGGATTACTTACAGAAGCTGTGATTGAAAAGAGAGAGGAAGCTGCAACGAAATCTGGAGGGGATCAGAGGAGGAAATAGTCACATTTGTTGGGGTGGACTGGGCAAGGGGAGGAGGAGAGGGTAGACAGAGATGCTTGTATGAGGCAAGGACAAAAAGGACAAGGAGGGAATGAAATTCTGATACACATGAGTTGTAGGCAAATTTGAATGCAAATCCAAACCCAAACGCAAACATCCAACCTGTTTCTAGTTAAAACTCACAGAACTCCCAGAAAGCAAGCTTCTCTGGCAGCACCTTGTGACTTCCAGCTCTTCCCTGTAAAGACTTATCTTTTCACAGACCCAACTACAGCAGCAAGTTAATCAAGTGCTCCAGCCTCTTAAGAAGCTCATATTAGCATTCTGCCTCACAATTGGCTTGGCTGACATGCCGCTAAAGGTGACTGCAAAACACCTCCCTGGGAGACCTTTCCTCTCTTTAACAGGCCCTGTGGGCTTTGCTTTGCTTTACCATATTCTCTCACGTGTTGGAGTCCAGCCCAAGGCACGGCACAGACAGGTGTGTGAATCAGACTGCCTATTGTTCAAATTATGTCTTCATTTATTCACAAAGAAGATTTAGAAATGTGTATGTTACCTGCCTGTATTTATATCCCCTGCGGTCTGTCTGCTTCAGTTTTACAGTCAGAGTAAGCCTCTGCCCTCCTTTGTCAGGGTTGTTTAACTAAATATGAGTTATTTGTTCTAAATAAGAGTTGTGAGCTTTTCTTCTGTGACCATACAAGGTACTCCTGTTAAATATAAAGGCTCGTAATTCAATCACCATAGGTGATCAAAGAGTTTGGACCAAGTGGTGACAGAACTGCTGTGAGGAGGCTTCCAGTGCAAGGCTCACTTAGGTACAGAAGTACAGCTGGTGCTGCTTGGATCCAGCTGATAAGCAAGCCATGGCACTAATTCTGCATCAAGCTGCTTGGCAACTCCCTTGAACACAGCCCCACAACCATCCTCCTGCAGAATCTGCCTCACAAACTGTGGCTTATGTTTAGTGTATATGAAGTTGTTGTTTTAGTTGTTGGGGGTTTTTTTTAGCATCTTGGCTGCTTTTACTGTCTCAGCAGTGACTTTAGGGCATTTTTAAAAGGTGACTGCAATACCTGAAAATCTAATTAAAAACAAAGCCCCGAGAATCCAGTTACCTTTTCCATGTTTCATGTACATGAAAGGCTAAAAAGTGATTTTACCACATAATTTGTATCTTTGAATGCAATAGTGGCATCATCATAACTAGTGCTGTAACAGTCTAAGCAATAAGGTAGCTTCAAATGCAGGACTAATTTTGTGTGGAAGGAGATGCCAAACATTAATGTCTATCTCCAGTGTAATACAGTAGTGAAAACTGATGCCTAGGAATGTCTTTTTTTTAACTCTGGTACACCACTTTGAATCATTTCATTAAAAAATTAGCCCTGCTTAAGGCGAAAGGAGTATTGAAAGTGGGGATGTGGGCAAGGACTGTAAGGGACACCTTTGTATATCTTGTCTGCAACTCCCCTTATCATCCCAGTGCCTTGCTGCCTGCAGGTTATGCCTCTGCTCTTCCCCTTGCGTGGTGTGAGGGCACTAGAAATGACTAGGATTAAAATGTTTGTAGGCTGGAGATAGAGAGTTCCCAGAGAAGAGCTTCTGGATTGCAAATGCTCACTTTATGCAGAAGGTTAAGCTCTTATTTACCTAAATTTGGAATGAAATAACCAAACTAAAGGCTTCCTCCCTCACTTTTTCTCTCCTCCTCCTCTCCAGGTATTCCCCACTGATTATAAACCTTTTAGAGGATATCTGAGTCAGTCTCTAAAAATTTAGATGGCCGTAGGTAAAGGGACATGACCTCAACATTTGCCAGAAATTAAGTATATGTGAAATTTAAGAACTATGAAATAATGTTTGCCATAGAGGCATTAAGTTTTTCAAGAGTGTAGCTACATAAAAGCTGTATCCTTTCCCCTCATGGTTAAACCAGGAGAACCGCATCCACTCCCCCCAGCGGTCCTAGCAATAAAGTGAGCTCACAGCCCCACAGCTGTTCTCCTATTTAGGGCTGGCCAGGGAAGGGAGGCAGCAGAGGAGGGAGACAGTGAAAAATGCTTTTCACCTTCTCAACTAGCATTACTGCATCTGGGTGGTGCAGAAGCATAGCTGGTTTTTTAGGTAAAAAAACGACAGCCAGCTGTATGGATGTTTTCACTAGTTTGTCAGCCAAATCAAAAGAGGTACAAATTTGCTACCTTATTGCTTGGACTGTTACAGCATTAGTTATGATGATGCCACTATTGCATTCAAAGATACAAATTATGTGGTAAAATCACTTTTTAGCCTTTCATGTACATGAAACATGGAAAAGGTAACTGGATTCTCGGGGCTTTGTTTTTAATTAGATTTTCAGGTATTGCAGTCACCTTTTAAAAATGCCCTAAAGTCACTGCTGAGACAGTAAAAGCAGCCAAGATGCTAAAAACAAAGGAAGCTGAACTATGGAAAGTGGGATGGCTTTAACTGTTTCACGGTAAGATACTAAACTTGCCCACAAATAGAGCATTGGCAGTTTATAGAGACAAGGGACAAATGTCACACAGCTTACAATCTCATAGAAACAACAACTAAAAAAACCCCCCACACTTGAGAAAACTCTCCCACAAAATCTAAGGTTTCCTAAGTGAAACTTCACTAAGTTCCTTTTCAGATTTTATGTTACTGCTGCAGCCTGTTCCTCTGTAACATGAGCAGTGACAAACAGAAGAGAGCAAGCAGAATTAAAAGTTGAGATACTTCTTACCCTGTGTTGTACATTTTCACTTTGAAACGTACAGCCAGTTACATCAGACAAAATGTATAAGTACCTAGGTGTTTCGCATAGATGTTGTTGGAGGAAGGGCATCAGTACAAGATGTAATACATAAATAGACACAAAATAAGCAGTTAGTCCATTGGTCTCCTAGCTATTGTGGTGATATGTTCCACTGAGGAATGATATAACTATTTTGGTGCCAGGGAATGGCAGGGGGGTAGCAAGGAACAGCCTGCCTGCCTGCACCCCAAAAAGAAACAAGCAACTGGATCAGTTCACGCAAGAACATGTCAGCTTGGTGCAGTGCAATTCGCTGCAGACATTTCTGTGGAAGAGTGATACAATAGCAACTAACAGACTATATTCACCCATACAGAGCACCAAGTCCACTGCATTTTGTTCTTTAGTCTGCATCATATCCGTGTTCTAATATTGCCTGTTGCAGTGAGTTCCATATGGATTCTAGCAGCTAGAAATAACTAGCTTTGGGACCCTACTTGGGCTTTTCGGGAGCCCAGCCCATGACACCAAGAGTGACGTAGAGAAGTTCCTAAGGCATCTATAGCACTTGAGTGTCTCCAGAAGTTGTCACTGCAGCAGGGGTGTTCAGGGTAGTTAAATATCTCAATTATTTTCAAGTTTTTGAGTCCATCCCAAAGTAACTTCTCAAAGTGAGAGTTCTTCCTCCTGCAGATTTTCTAGAATGGAGTATCTGAGTAGCACACTGCCTCTAGCCTTGAGGCGCCAGTGTTGCATGGAGAGGCTTTACAGCATCTTCTATCTCCTCCCCGCATAAAGCCTAAATGGTTCAGTAATTAAAGAAGAGCACCATCTTTGCTCCCAGCAACTCACTGCATAAATCATGGGCTCTACAGTTAAGAATTTTGTGTCCTAAGGTGTCTATCTAAAAAACTGAGGCTGTGATGAGAGAAGTTGGGACACTGAACTAACTACTGCTTGTAAAGGTTTGGAGCTCTTGGATGGGCAGTCATGCAGCCTGAAAAAAACTCTGTATTGGGGTAATACAAGCTATGTCTTGTCATTCTCCCATTTTTCCACAGTCACACAGAGAGGCATGATGTGCAGCTTTTCTTTTTCTTTTTTTCCTTTCAGGGGAGAACCTTGCAAAACATTGAAATTTAGGATTTTTCTGCAAGCATTTTTGGGTCTGAAAATAGCACCCAGGAGCCATGAATTCATGCATCAGATGGCTAAATGAGTCTTCTCAGCAGTATGTATGTTTTAATTTCCTTTTTCCTGCTGTTTGTCTTTCAGGTGATGTTTTGTATGAACTCCTTCAGCATATCCTGAAGCAAAGGAAAGCTCGTATGCTCTTCACACCTTTCTTCCACCCTGGGAACTCTATCCATGCTCAGCCAGAGGTCATATTACACCAGAATCATGATGAAGGTAACTCTGTCTCATTCTTAAGGGAGCTGCCATTATAGAGGCGAGTAGGGTAAGGCTGTGAAGAATTATGTAATTTTCTCGCTCCAAAGTTACTTAAATAAAGCTACTGTTCTCCCTTTGTCTCCATAGCTTTAGAACAATCAACTGGTCTAGGGAGTCAACTGTCCATTCTCCATTTATCTTCTATTATTTTGTCCTGTTTCGAAAACCTGCTTAAAAGCTATGCCAGATGCAGATTAAAAAATACCAGAAAATTTTATTGACCCTGTTGATTCATTTTTCCTCACTCCCAATTAGGTAGACGAAGATGCTTCATGGACTTTTAGTATCCTGGAGATGCAACTAGATGCAATTGTTTGCAGAGCAAGGGAGAAGGCAGCCTCAGAGAGGAACATCTAACTCAAAGTCACTTCAGCTAACAATCTGTCATCACATCATGCCAGAGTTCCTAGCACTGAGCCCATCTTGTTGCTCAGCTTTTGAGCTGATTGAACAATTTGTGTTGAGAGAAGGTTTTTTTCTGCAGGTGTTCTCTCATTTTTACTATCATAATCACTTGCTTAGGTTATTAGTTAGCTTTCTGGTAGTGTCCACAAGTACCGTGCCTGTCAGAGGTGGTGAAGAAAGAATTGATGTGTTTGTGGAATTGCAGATTTGGGCTGCTTCTACTCATTATTAGTACAGATCAAAATGTAACTGTGCTTCCTTCAACGGAAAATTGAGTTTTTATTTTCTTGAGAAATATACACACTAAAGCACTTCTTGGTTTTCTCCAATAACAGAAAAATATAAAGCGTAAGCCTGTTAAAAGGCCCTTTCCATGAAAGCATCAGGCAGAATTCACTTTTTCAATTAAAAAAAAAATCTAGGAAAAAGTAGTGATAGTCCTTTTTTAAGTAAAGAGGAGAAGAGAACAGAAGTGAGTTAGGATATTGCCCTAGTCTCTGCTAACTGGAGAAAAGATGCACAAATTATTGCAAGATTCAACATGGGATTACAAGAGAAGATTCAGGGGGACTGTCAGACCTGTACAAGTTGCCCATGGCCAGCCTGAGCAAGCCAGAATCAAGTGGTACCAGCAAAACTCAGAGACTAAGCCAAGGGCAGGGCAGCAGCAGGTGGGATAAAGACACTCCAAAGTGTTTCCACACAGCTGTGTAAATATTTCAGATTAGAAGAGGGTGCTGCAGGTCAGGATGAGGTTGAATTGGCAGAGTTGTGCAAGAGACAGTTACCTAGTGTATTAAGATAGGCTTCCCAGAGACCATTATAAAAATCTCCATTTTTTCCTGAAGCTTGGCATTCACCCACAAGTGTTCCCTTTCTAAATTGCAAACGTAAATGCTAGCTGTCCTCTCAGACACCCCTACATTAAAGATACGGAGCAACTTTCACTCTAGAGAGGATTTCACAGGGATATTGGGTTGGTCTTTCACGTGCGTCACTTAAATTGTAAGTCCTTTGCAATCTAGTCCGACTTCTGTCAGCATAGGATGATTAGGAAACAACTTTGATTTCTTCCTCACAGTACTCTGGCTGCTGATAGTACCACTGTATTTGCTTAGAGAGCTCTGTGCTACTTAAAACGTTTCTTTGTAATGACAAAAATTAGTTCTTGTTTTGCTGTGAGAAGAACTTCAAAACAAGTGAAAGAAACTACACCTTGCCTGCCACAAGACCGTGCAATTAGAAAATCTCTATGCCAAGAATTTATAGGCAGATTATTTATTTATTTATTTATTTATTTTGACATTCCTTCTTTCTTCCTGTTTCACAGAGTCACTTGGGAGAAACTAGCACAATTAAGGTTACCATTTTCTGTCAGCAGAATGCAGCTTAGTAGAAAAGGGAGAATGAGTGTGAGAAGCACAACTCAACCTTGCCTAACTCACAAACTGTAATAGGGGGGTAAAGTGTTACTTTGGCACAATTCTGAGTGGCTAAACTTCATAGGTGATGGTTCTTTTCTAGAATCCCTTCTTACTCCAGTGATCTTTTTCCATTTTCTTCTACTGGCTCTTTTGCCCATTTCCTAATAGATTATATACTTAATGATCCTGCTTCTAAATGTTTTCATTTTAAGTTAGTTAATCCAGAATCAGATGAGACCAACATTTACATCTAGTGCCTTTTTGCTAGCTTAAGCAAAGTGGGTTTGACTGTTGGAAAGCAGTTGGCAGTGGTTCAGGGTATCTCCAAGATACACTGGCATTGGCTTGGAATCTGCCCTGTGGGCATTCGTCTCTGTCCATGTAGAGGGATGAGCAATGGAGAGTGAATTACCTACATCTCCAATGGTCCTTCTGACTCAACACTGAGTCATCTGATGTGATGCCATACAGGACGCTTACACTGTCATTCCCTGCACTTCTTTTATGGGTAAGCAAAGAGTGCCAATCTTTGGGATTGTCACACCAGCAATTGCTCACTCCCAGAGTGAGTGCAGCCCCACCCATCCCTGTATGGATCAGGTAGGTCAGCAATTTTCCTGGGAGCTGAATTCCCTTTCACAGCTTTCCCTTCAAGAAAAGATTGTTGGTCACTGAGAATGAAGAGCCAGACTGATGAGTGAATCTATTCCTGCAGGAAATGATATACCATATGTGCTCAACTTACAGTCATCAGATGTGCCAAGAAATGAATGTGATGATGATTTTACTCTGTTCAGGGTCATTTGTAGCAGTGGAACTGCTTGGAGCTGAGTTTGAGTTGTTTTATGGTAAACAGCAACTTCGGCCATGAGGGGATTCTTTAGTTAGGTATTTAAAGAGAAAGATATTGGAGGAAGGTGAACTCTAGTGTGTATCCATTTGTGTTTTTTCCTCTTGCTGCTTTTTAAAGAGTTCCTTGGTCCCTACCTTCTCTCTACCCTGTCCTGGTTCAGGATCGCCGTGGTTTGGGAGCAGGCGGATAGGTCTGCTTCTGTTTAGAGCTTGTCAGAGCCAACTAATGTTTGCAGAGAGCTTGGTGGGAAGCACAGCAAGGCATTCATTTCTGCTTTCAAGACAGCTGCTCCCCACAGCCAAGGCACTTTAAATAAGTAGGATGAACAATACAATATTCTGGTCTATATTTATGAGCCAAGAATGAGCACAGTGCATTTGAATGTACAGTGGTGGGGGTGGATGGTCGGTAGAAGATAGGACACTGGGTAAAATTGAGGGGTTGGTTTGCTTTCTCTTGTGGCAAAGAAAGGAGGCTTTAAGAAAAGACAGCCACAGAGGTAGGTACAGTTGTAAATTAGTTCCTCTTTGATCTTCACATCATTTGGGCTATCCCACATTAGTGGGCCACATTGTGTTTAAAGCTGTTTGGGTTTAAACAAGAGCAATATATAGCTCTGGAGTTTCATGTCCTCCAGCTGTACCTTAAATAGCTCTACGAATGCCTTTTTCTTGTCTGGGACCACAGATGTGTGAAACAAGTGTTCTGGAGCCAGGTAGTTTCTGCCTAAAATTTCAGGTTTTCCTGTAGACTTTAGCATCCCTGTATAGATGAACAGCCTATTGAGTAGGCAGAAGGGTTGGTGCTATGTCACTGCCTGGCACTACATTTTCTCAGGACAAGAGCTTTTCCTGTTCAGGCCTTTCCCTGGGTAAGTGCTGATCCCGGTCCTGATGCTTGCCTGGGTTCCAGGGCAGCTGGAGCCCCTGAGTCTTCACCTTGACAGGGTCTTCAACAAGTATCGCTGCCTTGACAAGAGAGCAAGAGAATGGTTAGAGGATCAGAGCAAATAGAGTGAACAAACAGGCAGCCACAAATAGGCAGCTACTTGTTTCAGTTGTTGACATGTACCCAGCAGTTTCCTTCTCTTATCATCCAAGGCTTTCAACAAACAGCACTGAAATTTGATCTTTGTTTTTCAGATAAAAACCTGTTAGTCACTGTGCTCTGGTGGTATTTTCCTCTTTGTCAGTAATTTCCCCAAGTCAAAACTGATGGCCTTAGCTAAGCTGAAAGTTTGCACTGTTTATGTCAACCATTTCATTTTGTGAGAGGATTGTTAATACATGAAGACATTGACCTAGAGCCGTGATTGATCTCCCCCCTACTGTTAAAGATCACAGCTGGGGAAGTAGGCTCATGCAAAAGTGATGCTAGAAGTCCTCCCTGCTGAAGAAATGTGAGTGCTTATATGGGACAGTAGCCAGCACAGACTAAATAAAACAAGGTGAAAATATCCTTATGAAGATGTTACATGCTTTTAAAATCAGGCAGGGATAAAATTTATCTAGTGTTTCACAAAGGGCTTCCTACCAGTGGGGCTTTTTAGATAACCCAGTCCATATTTCAGACTAAGATATTCTCTACGTTGACCCAAACCTCTACCATCTAAAACTTACTAACCAGTATTTTCCTGGACACATTTTCCCTTTTTAACTCTGCCCTCTACCTTACAGTGCTCATCCTGGTACAATAACAGGAACCACATGTAGAGACATGAATGGCAGGAGATAAGTTTCAAAGCATTTGCACAGAAACACAGTACAGCTGAATCAGATCTTACTTTCTTCATGTGTGTTCCAGTCAGCTTCTCAAAATGGGATTTCTCTTAACACATTTCCCAGGAACTACCGTTACATGGTGACGGAGGGAGATTGTTTTCACAGTACTGATTTCATTCTGTATAGTAATAACTGTCTGCATTTATATGGCATTTTTCTGGGCATCTATAGGTCACACAAATAAAAACATTTCCAAGCTGAGAGCAGTACCCAGTACGCCCAGCTAGCAGCATGATGGCTAGGTCCTACACCTTGATCACAATATAGGCAATCTGTATTTTTTTGTTTTTTCTCCACAGATAACTTTGTCCAGAGACCTTCAAGACCATCCACAGAAACAGTCCACCACAACCCCCCAACAATTGAACTGTTGCATCGTTCCAGATCACCCATCACCAACAACCACCGTCCATCACCAGATCCCGATCAGCGGCCACTGAAGTCCCCTATGGACAACACTATCCGTCGCCTCTCCCCAGCCGATAGGGTGCCGGGGACAAGGCACCAGCAAGAGAACAACCACCAGGAGCCCTATCCTCTCTCAGTGTCCCCGATAGAAAACAACCACTGCCCGCCTCCTTCTGAGGTGCTCCAGAAGCCCTCCAGCCCTCGCCAGGAGAACACCAGGGTCATCCAGCTGATGCCCAGCCCTATCATGCATCCTTTGATACTGAACCCCAGGCACTCCGATTTCAAACCACCAAGGTTGTCTGAGGATGGGCTGCACAGGGAGGTAAAGCCAATCAACCTGTCCCACCGAGAAGAGTTAGCTTATATGAACCACATCATGGTGTCTGTATCCCCTCCTGAGGACCATGCAATGCCAATTGGAAGAATAGCAGGTAAGTGACATTCTCTAGGCTACACCAAAGTTGACACTCTTCATTCATAACTAACCATGCTGTGTATCGAGAGTGTCTCATTTCTTTTTGCTACTCTGTGACCTCAGGAGTTTACTGGCATTCTGCAAGTTTCACCACATCTGTGGTTTACACAGTTAAATATGATTAAACTGGTTTCATGGCAGGTAAGCAAAGGTGCAGAGTGACTTGCTTGTGACCACAGAATGCGTAATTGGTATTGAAACATTTGTGTCCTGACACTCACTGCCTCTCTACCCACTAGCAGTCCATTTGTTTCCCAAGATACCTATCTCCAAAGCCTTGTGCTGCAAAGAGGTAATTTCCCAAGAGTTGCATTCACATTAATGTCCAGTCCTATGGTAAGGAAAAAACCCTCTGTCAGTAGCCTTTAAGATAATGCAGTGTCAAGACAGCTACTATGGGGATGGCAGGACTGATGAAATATCACCTCATAGTCCTACTTCATAGGCTTTCCTGTGCTTCTCACACTAGGATTGTCCCTTTTTACAGAAACAAGGTTGCCTTTGTCCCACACAAACCACAGGCATTGTCTCACTTTTGTTATCGTAAATAACTGACATCACAACAGCTGAATCAGGAAGCTGAGGTTACAGAAAATGTTTTTTGTACTTGAAAGGGAACTGTAAATAGATAGGGAGAGGGGGAAGGGGAATCCAACCACTACAGAAATATGCTGAATGCCCCAGTAACCAATGTCTTTTGAGAGATGTAAATACACACCACACCCAAAAACGTTCCATGCATTTATGTCAGCAGCGAGTTAACGTGATACCCAGCTCCTGTGGGGTATTACACATGTCATTTTAAAACACCTTGTTCTTTTTTGTCCTTGCATGCCTTAAATTTGTTACAGATGTGATGCTGCCTCAGCTTTAATGAGGAAGATTTTCTATTTTCTTAAGACTTAGCACTTTAAATTCAAAAGGTACATATCTCACCATCTAGAACAGCAAGCCCAAAAAGGGCCATGATCCTTTCATATAATAGAGAGATGGGTTACAGAAATTAATCTTTTGACATTTTTGCCTGGCTGACATTTGTCTCTCTCCTTTTGATTTTTATTACCCACACCCTTCTCAGCAAGTTAAGAAATACACTTAATGTTACAGCAGAGAAGATCCTACTGGTTTCATCACTGGAGATTTCCTTTCCATAAAGTACTGTTGGAAGATCAGCAGGGTTGTTAATTTTTATTTTTCAGAATTTTTTTATTTTTAAGAATGAAGCCTAGACTGAAAAGAATATAAGAAAAAATACGGGGAGTGGGTGGTGGTGTAATTTTTTAATTTAAACCCAGAGTTTTCTTACATAATTGGGAATCTTTGGTTTTTGCACTTTGTGCACTGGGTCCAGTGACACCAACCCTGTAACTAAGTACTCCCATGTCCTTGCCATCCCTTTGTTGTTTGCAGGGCAACAGAGCCCAAGCCCATGGATATTTGGGCCTAACACACGTTGCTTGGCAAATATGTGTAACAGTTTAAAGTGTTATACACAGGCTACATTTGCATGCTTAGCTGCTTTCGCTTGCAGTCTTGTGGCTTTGCTTAGACCCACCAGCATGGGTGGCATGTCTTAAAGAGCTGGTGAAGTATTTCATGCCGTGACCTGAGGTGTACTCAAGCATTCAGTTCAGATGAGGGCAGTGCTTTATAGCCAAGGGTTGGGGGATTACATAGCTGGTAGTTGCTAACATCTTAGATTTCTACTGATAAATTTGCCAGTGTACTTCCGACAGTACCCCATGTCCTTTAATTGTAAACGCCAACAAGCCTCACTTTCTGTACAGGCACAAGCTAGTGATATTCTGATTGGGTTGTAATGGCTCCTGAACTGTAGCTGGACCCTATAAAGGGCTCACAGCCAATTTAAAGGTGACAAACCCCAGATTACTACCAAAAATGTACACATTCCACATTTCATACCTGAAATCAACTTCATCAGTGCTATTGAATTCAATGGCAGCATACATAGGCCCCCTAGAAGGAAAGTACACACCTTTCTACCTGCTTCCCCCCCATCTCACAGCCTTCAATTTAGAGCTCTTGCCATTAAGTGATTTCATTTTAAGAGCATTTTTTTTGTGTCACCATAAATCTATTTTCCACCTGAGTGTCCTTATCTTCAGTGACACTGCTATAGTTAACATGGAGGCTTTTGACCAACCATGGCTTGCCACTTCGATTTGAGAGAGACCATGAAAATTATAACACTTGGCGCTCAACCTGCAAATATATATCAATACAGATGTATTGTTAAAAAAAGCTTTGTAAAAATCACTGGCATTATTTCCATTTTATGGATGAGGAAGACTGACGGGTTAGATAATGAAAAGATTTACCAATAGGCCAGTGCCAGAGCTAACTACTTACCTGTTTACACTGATGAGAAGAGAGCCTTGACTTTCTAGTGGCTTAACCATTTGCATGCAGGTGATTTTCGGCAGAGACAGCGATGAGGAGCAGCTACCAGGGAAGCCCCGTGGGCTGCTGACTAAAACATTGGACTGAGCTCCAAAACATGTTCTATTCCCAGCTCAGATATTTTAAATTGTAAAAGGAATTCTTCCTGGACTTAAGATGCCTCACAGCCTCGTAAACCTGTTTACTTGTGGATAGAGTCTGTTTTTAGATGCAGCATGCAATTACGTGGTGCTGAGAAAGAAAACAATGTTTTCAATTGCTGCTATCCACAAATACTCTTGTTTTCAGGACGTCGATCAATAGAGCTCTGGACTTCCTGTCAGACAAAATAATGACCTCTACTCACTGGCTGACTAATCTTTCCTACCTTTCTATGTAATATTGTTTCTCAAAATATTAATTTTACTGGTAAAGCACTTTCCCTTTTACAGCAAAGAATTTCAAGTTGAAGGTCTTATTCTCTTTTCCTCTAAGGCTATTTTACACTTTTCTAGCAAAGCAAGAGGCATAAAGTATCTTTATGTTACTCATTAAGGTCCCATATATTATTCATCAGTGGCTAGAGCTGTTTTTAAAAATCATGTTTAGCTATTTTCTCAACACAATATGCATGAGTCTTTTCCGTAACTTAGTCAGAACTAGAGGTCATTGTGTTGGGATGATCCAAAGGCAGACTTGCATCCCCTGTAAATACACCAGGCAAGGGTTAAGCTAACTAACTCAGGTGTTGATAGCCATCTAGCTACGACAGCACTTAAAATATTAAAAATACATCAGAAGGGGAGTTTAGCAGAGCGGTGTAATGGACAATTTTCCCCACTGGAACTGCTGATTCAAAGCAGCAACAGTGTTTGTTGGTAGTCAGCTCCTAACTAGGCTCCTAACTAACAGGCAGTCTATCTGGCTTACTTTTAGCTCTGAATTTTTTAAATAGTCTGTCTTGGATCGCCCCAAATAGTCTCCAAGGATTTCACTCTGTGGGGAAAAAAAATGTACTTTTTTTCCCCCTATTTTTTCTTCTTTTTTTAACGCAGTTGCAGTTTCAATCAAGAGAGGCGCCTGAAATTAGCTGTTCTGCAGAATGGAAATTCCACTCCCCATACACCTCTGACTGGGAGGGTTTTGTTATCAAACATTTTAGGACTTTGATATCTCATAAAAGGTACTTCCCCAAGGTACAAGGAGAGGCAGGGGTTATTGCATTGGCAGGTGTTTGTAGCATGTCATGGCTGAGGCATGCACTGCAGCCCTGGAGGAACCACAGCCACCAGCAACCCTCCCGGCAGCCATCCTGAAGTTCTGCCCCCATGGCTTTCCTTGGGACCTCTGCCATTGACTTCAACCAGGGCAGGTTTTCACCACAAAACTTTATTTAGGTGTCAAAAATGTCCTTTTTTCCAGATATGCATGTCCACCTCAGCTTATTAGCATGCAAGAAAATGGGAACTTAACACATAGAGGTTGGCTTAGAAACATTCCAGTTAATCTAATGACATGCTGGTATTTACCTCACTTTTGATTCAGTCACTTAAAACTCACTAATACAATTCTGGATGTTTCTTGTGAGGGGAGATACATAGCTGAGCAGGTTCCTGAGATTTCCAGCTCCTGGTGTCTTTTTCTATACTACCTCTCTGGGGCTGAAAGGCTTGTTCATTAATCCACAGCAACCACTGGCCCTGAAACTTTGGGATACAGGTATAACTACTCCTTACTCGAGCACTGCCCAGTACAGGTATTAACCAAACGACTGCAGGGGTGTGAAAGGCAAGGTGCTGGAGAGCAGTAGTAGGTGCAGCTGGACTCCCGCCGAGGGCTCCCTGTCCTGTTGCAGTTGGGACCTAATAAAACCCATGAGACTCCAGGTTCGCTCTGTGCATGTCTGAGGCAGACCTATGCCATTTGTACAAACAGCTTAGAAGCATGAGCATTGCTATTTCTCCGCAGAGCCCCACCCTGCCTGTTGCTTTTGATTCTGCTCTGCATTTGGTGGGGGGCAGAATCTAAAGGCAGGTGAGTATTGGGCCTGTTGTTGTCTATTAGTGTGCTGTTCTTACCAGTTGGGTTACCTTAGCAACTGGGCTGTATTTGACTTTATGAGCTGCCGGATTTGTTTCTTCCCCTTCAGGAGCCTGAGGAAAAGCCAGGTAATGTTTAAACTGTTCAGAGGCACATTGTCTACCACTGTATTGGTTTGGTCCATAAAACTGTTGACTACTGTTAGAATGAGGACAGGCAAGATTCTTACCCTGCCAAAGTCATGAAAGAGATCTACTTCCAGCCTTGCTTGTGACTTGCCTCAGCCACTTGATGTGCCACACATCCAGAGAGTACAGGGGCATAGCATGAGCCCTGCAGATTTGTAGCAAGACACATATAAGTGACTTCTCAATAAAAAGTCTGACTGCTGAAAGTGAGAATGTGGTCCCCTGTTAAGAGTGCATCAGCTATGAATGACTCACATTCTACTAAAATCTACAAAACAGTGCTTACGATGGGCATAGACTACGTGCTAGCTCTGAGTGTGGGGAGGTC